AAGTATGTCTCCTTTTTTCTCAGTATGCTAAGAGTATTGAACAGAACTGTGACTGAAAATTGAGCGTGTCTTAAAAACAAACCCCAAGGCTAAGTGAAAGTCAGTTTATAGACATTTGGGAATTTGATTTGTTCTCATCTTCCTATCAGTGTAAAAAGATCTGTGCTAATATTTCTGTAAAGTAAAATAATAATAGAAAAAAAAACCCAAAACTAATTTCAGAGTGCATAGGAAAGAAAATCAAAAATGTTCTGTAAAGTGCTGGCTACCCTAATAAATTACTTGTTTTACTTTTAAGATATAGTCAGAAAGTCATTTGACATCCAGATGTGCACCCAAATTATTAAAAAAAATTAAACAAGAATTGTCTTAGAATGCCAACCAGTTCAGATTTTATTGCTCATAATATTGTTGGGTTTTTCCCCTTGCAGTCACATTACTCAATCAGTTCTTTAATCATACATGTACCTTAAATATCATTAATATCTTGTGTTTTGTAATGTTAACCCAAAGATATAGTGCTAATCGCAAGACATGGAGCAATGAGGCTTTGGAGAATGCTGTATATTCTCATATATACAACTTCTGTATTTATGGAATGGAGTGGGGATGAGTTCATGTGGGCATGAACTCAAAGTGAAGTAAAGCAAAGCTGATGTTTTGGTAGTGGGAGACTTTTTTCTCTGATTTTATAAGAATATACTTAACCAATGAGGTTGTGAACAGACTCTCTTACTGATACCACAAGTGACCAGACTAGCAAGGTACACAGAATAAGACCTGAGCACACGAAGTGTCATACAGTAGTTGTGTCATGACTGAAAACTGTTGATAGGTACATTAAACAAAATTGGTGTTATCTGGCTTTCTCTTACACAATTTCTCACAATTTCAGTGCAGAAACTGTTGGCTGCAGGTACTGCAAAGTACAGTGTAGGCATTGTGGAATTGCATAGAAATTCCTGGCACACAGGAGGAACTTGCTGTCTACCCACTTATTAAATAGTTTTCTCTCTTGCTATATATTTAGCAAAAAGGCAAGAAAAAAAAAAATTATGGAACCTTTTACAGATATGAAAAAAAATCAGTTTAGAGGTGGTTTGCACTTAAGAAAAAAATTGTTTATTTTCAGTGTTAAAATGGCTTAATATCTAAATGGAATGCTGTAATCAATGTTTTAATTCCTGTTCCATAGTTTCTAATGTGGTACCTGTGGTTTTGGAATATAATTCTCATCCATTAGAGTAAATGTATTTCCTGTGATTACAGCACTGTGAAGGCAGGACAAAAAACTACTCAGTTTGTTTATGAGATTAACATTGGGAAGTTTATATCCTTTCTTGGACACCAAGAAATGTTTTTCAGTGGCATTATCAGTTTTCTACAAAGCATCTCCTAAAGTGAGGAGGTGTTTTGTTCCTACAGTTCTTGGCTTCTTTGTACCAAAACTGCTGTCTTGTTTAATGACATTGCTATGTGGGCTGAAATTAGGCTGACAGATTGTGAGCAAAGGCTGTGATATTACAAACAATAGTCTATTGAACATGAGGAACTTGTTGAATTAGTTACCGAAGGCATTAGTGCTCAGTCCAGCCTCTTAAGCATCTGGAAGCCAGAGAAGAAAGAGTGGGCTAATGAAATGTCCAAATGACATCAAACTGCAAAGGGCTGCAGGTGACAATGGCAGCTGATGTGTGCCTGGTAGAGGTAAAAAATAATAATAAACTAATAAACTCACAAAAGGAAAAAAATAGTGCATTAAGAGGGAAGGAAGTATTCAAATCAAGAGAGAAAACCATGCTGGGGTTCATGAGGAATCAAGCACACAAATGATTAAATTTTAAGGGCTCTGCTGGATTTGGGATGGGTTTTCCAAAGCAGACTGGATGGCAGTGGCTCCAGCACACCAGCTCTTCACCATCTGTGACTCCCCTGACATCAGTACAATTCTCCAGTGCTAGTTTAGGGATCCTGAGGACTCTGTAAAGCAGATTTGAGAGGGTCATTTGTTCCCCATCAACATCAGGTTAACTTGATGTTGAAAAAGAAACTGAAATGTGCAAAAGATCAAAATTAAAGTCTCATTTTGCTCTGTTTTAATTATTCACTTAATAATCTTTTAGTTTCTTATGCCTTGCAGTACAAGTTTTTAATGGTCTTTGAACTTTAAATATGAATTTAATTGCTTCTGTGTCCTTCTTTGGGAATAATTCCATGAAGATCTGCACCTCTGCTCTGTGCTGCAGATAACTTAATCCAAATCTGGACTTGCTGGGATTGCTGGGAGGCATGTATATTAGTTTATGAGTTTACAAGATGGACCTAGCCCACCATCTGTGTTCATCCAGCCTGCTGCCTTAACCTGAGACAGACAATCTGCCAGGATCACGTGCACAGCTCAGGCTGAGGTGAATCCACGCACCAAACTTTGTCCAGAGAGATCTAAATCTCTGACCTGTGATGCAATTGGAATCTCAACTTTCAGGATGAATACCTCAGACTACCTAAATCCTGAAATATCCAAGGAATATTATTATCCCAGCTATGCCATTTTCTCATGACATTTAATGAAAAATACAGCAAAACGAAGTCACTTAATTAAAGGTATTACAATGCAATAGCTTGGTTTTACCATTCTTATTTACTTTGGATAATAATATGTAGGAAATCATAGTTTACATTAAGATTTGAGTTCAGTTGTCAATAAGGAATGGGTCTGACCCCTGTGGCAGAATATGCACTTAGATGTGTCAGGGGCTTTAGCTAAAGTCATGAGCCGTGGTGGGCTGGCTTTGCTCACCCAGTGCTCTCTCACCCACACTCCTCACCTGGACAGAGGTGAAAATAAGGTGAAAAAGCTCTTGGGTCGAGGTGGAGACAGGGCTCAGCAATGGCCTGCACAGGCAAAACACTCCGCTGTGTTAATGGAGATTTATGGCCAGTTAAAATAGGTTTGCATAGTAAAAATCAAAGAGAAATGAAAACAGTGCCTTCTCCCTGCCCTTCCCTGTTTCCCAGGAGCAACTTCCCCACACAATGAGTGGTGCAAAGGGCTGAGGGCTGTTCCTTCCTTGCTCCCCTGCTCCTGGGCAATCCATGGGTCACTGCTCCTCAGGAGACACCAACCTGTTCCATCCTGGGCCCTCCACGTGTCACTGCTCCTCCAGGAGACAACCTGTGGGCATTCCATGGGTCACTGCACCCACCTGCTCCAGCCTCTCGCCACAGGGCACAGGGAATCTCTGTCCTGGCTCCCAGAGCACCTCCTTCCTTCTTCCTCCTCGCTCCCCTGTTGTCCTCAGGCTCCCTGGCCCCTCTGCCTGGGTAGGATTTTGCCCTTCACTGGACACATTTTTACCCCTGGGCTGAGGGGCTGGGCTGTGCCATGGGTGAGGCCATTCTGGAGCCATCTGGAGGAACCAGCTGGAATGGGCAGGGGCAGCACAGCCGCTCCAAGAGCCGGGCCTGTGGCCCCACTGCCGGCACCTGGGCACCGACACCCACCACGGCAGGTGTCATTATTTCTGTTTGGCAGAGGCATTCTGGCTTTACAATAGAGCTGTTTTTTCAAATATTTCCAATGCCAAGTGTCTCCTTGAGGCGAGCCCTCAGGAACAGATTGAGAGCGTGGAGCAGGTCTCTGCAGAGGAAAGCAGTGGAGAGAATTTTCTTATGAAAAGAAAGATGTGGGTAGGAAAGTAGAGGATAACATTAAAAATAGAGAAGATTAAACATGTTCCATTAGAAAAGCCAGAAACAATTTAGGATGAGGTAGAAACCCTGGAACTGTATTGATAAACAGAATTAAAAATGTCTTTTTCCTGCTTCTTTTCCAGCCCAGAGCAGCAGATCAGCTGAATTTTGCTGCTTGTGTTGGTATTGAGCAATGTGTTCCTAGAGAACAGTCCTATTGACTGCAGTGGGGCTTGCTGAGGAGGGAATTGTTTAGCTCAAATAACCTTATAAATGCACATTAGAGCCCAATGGTATATTTCCAACACATAAATATATATCTAACCTCAAATTATATTTGAAATTGTAAACCTAGATTTTCAGTGCTACTTTTTAGAAGGTGTAATTTAGCATGTGAGCTAAAATGTGGCCCTGTCTTACAAGACCTGATGAGATGGGTTTTGGATTGGATCAGGAAAATGTAAAGTCTTATTTTTGTAGTGTATAAGTGCAATGGACAGTCTAAACCCTGTCTCTAAAAATCCTGGCATACTTCAAAGGAAAAATGCCATTTTAGCAACTTAAAAGCACTTAGTGGGTTTTCCATAGCCAGTGTGGTTGCCTGATGAATAATGCCATAGGGGACGATGGAGCTCTGACTATATTTAAAAATACTATTCCATGAAATTCACTAGGAACAAGCTGAAGCAGAATCTCATTTGTGTCTTTGGAAGGAGGTGATAGTGGCTGTAAATGGTGAAGGGAAAGGGTTGAGGTGGTTTTTGAATCGCAGAGAAGATGAAGGCTGGACCATCTGTGGTGAGAGAGGGATGCTTAAAGCAACAGCCAGAGGGCCCAGGCAGAAATCTGGGGATTCTTTAATATTACAGGGACTTGAACAAGAGCAGCAATTGGAAAGAAATTCTAACAGGTGGGGATTTAAAGACGTGCAGAGACATCATTAGAAAAGTGAAAAAAAAGAAAAACAGAAACAATTAAAAGGATGTTAGGACACATAATTGGAATATTCAGATAAGAGGAAACAAAAGGTCAATTTGAGTGAACAATAAAAGTCTCTATTGTCTTCTTTTTGGTGTATTCTTATGCATGTAGCTTACTGCTACATATTTTATTTTATGACTACAGTTTAGCTTTTAAACATAATTCTGAACTACCTTTAAAAATAATTCTGAACTGCTGTAAGGCCTGTTATACTTGTATATTTTAACCAACGGAGATAGAAGTTTAAAAAACATTTCTCATTGTTGTTGATGGACAGTTGATTAGCCATTCATTAAAACACAACCTGTTTCATCTGTTCCTGGCAGGGAACCTTGGCCGTGTGGACCACGTCACAGAGTTTGAGTATGACCTCTTCATTAGGCCAGACACCTGCAACCCACGCTTCCGAGTCTGGTTCAACTTCACTGTGGAAAACGTGAAGGAATCACAGGTAAGTGGTAATAAATTGAACTGGTATGATAGCGTCAAAAATCGCTTACCCCAGAATATGTTTCCTTTAACAAAAAAATGACGCCCAGGGTTTGCAACTAAAAAATTCTTTAAAATGTATATTTGTTCTTTGAATTTTTATAAATAAAAGCAGGTATCAGCAGGAGTGGGTATGACCATGCTTTCCAGCTATCCAAGACAAGAGGTAATTGCAAAGACAGTATAATTTTTGCCAAATAACAGAACTGGTATTAATAATGGCTGCCATATATTTATGCTTTTGCATTCCAATCAAATATGTGTGTTCATATACGAAAAAAAAGTCCATCATAGCTGTTCAAATATTATCACTCAAGCCTTCATTTAATACATGTAGAACAAAGGGGTAGCTTTGCAAACAGGCATTTCCCTAGTGACTTGTAGCACAGGAGTTGCTTGCCAACGTGTCCCTTGTGAAAGAGGAGGTTTAAATGTGAAGCAAATTGATAGGCAACTGTTTCACTTACTTTTAAATAATGTTTTTTGCAGTAAAGATGCCCCTTGAGAAAGAAACTTCCTTGCTCTATTTTTTCACTTCTATGCTTTTAAAAGTTATATACTAACTTTCACATTGAAAAATAAAAAAAAAGAAAAAGGAAAATATTTCATTTCACTTTTCGAATGTGCCTTGAATTTTGTTCTGGTGACCTGCCTTAGTTTATCAGAATCAGTCTATCATTTTTACTTAATGGAAATAAAACATATTTAGTGAGAGAAAAAAACTGCAGAAGCTTAATATTTGTATTCCTATGGGACTAATATCTTAATATCCAGCACTGTAACATTCCTGTTACAACTGGAAATCATGAAATTGTTTATCTATCGTCCTGGTGCCTGGTACTTTATCAGACAGACCCTTTCCCCTGCTGTGCCTTACTCAACTATGATCAAATTATATAGTCATGAGATGAATGGGAATCTGTCTCAAGGAGGCAAAGAGATCGGGTAGAAAGATACAATATATATCTAGTGCTTACAGGATATTTGTTTTCATGGTTGTCTACATGAAAGAGAATGGTTCCACTATTAAGTTTGACTTGTGAGGTCTGTTTTTATAATGTGTTCTCCTATAATCTTTTTCTCATCTCTCCAATTTCCGTTAAGATGAGACCTGCCTGGACGTAATCTAGTCTGGAACCCTTTTTAGCTCTTTATACTACAGGCCATGAGCAGCATTAGTCATTGCAGCTCAGCTACATTAAATGAAAGTTAGAAGTTGCTACGTCAAACATACTGTGTAATGTAATCTGTTTTCTGCATTTCGATTATTTTATGTTTCACTAGAAAACAGTAATGAGGAAGCGCAAATTATTCAGTATTGCTTCAAAATGTTGCACTAATACAAATACAGAGGACGTTTGATCACCTTTGGGTGTGTAGAAGTAGATATTTTAATAGCTCTCTATAAATCATTACCTGGATAATGCTGTATTTATTTTTGATGCATCATGAAAGTAATGTGTGAAGAAGGCACATCTATACATTTATCTCTATTAGGTCTGGTTTCAGCCATTTGGATAAGGACTCACAAAGAGTAACTACTTTTGTTTTCATATTATCTATTAGTGATGTATTTTTTGTTATTAATCTAATTATGAATGAAAAGAAAGACCAATTAGAAATTCCAGCCAATCTTACCATCCATGTATTATTGTTCTATAAGAAAACAGGTTCTTTGCATTTAATTTTTTATGTCATGGAGCTTCCATTTCCTATGTCTCAAAACTGTTTTATAAACTCCTCTCACTTACAGTGTTGCTTGATTTTTAGCCTAAAGCTTTCCTTTATTTAATCCCACAATTCCCAGTTGCAATTCTGCTTAGTAATAACTCCTCTTGGTACAAATAAATCCTCATCATCCCTGACTAACATTTATATTTCTGTAAATTATAACATTCCTCATCATTTGTGTCCCAACCTAGCTATCATGCTTGGTTCTTTCAGCCCTGTATCCAATAGACCACTTTACCTTTTAAGTATTTTTCTGCTTTGGGGCCTTTGGACTTTCATCATAAGTGAATCTTTCAGTCCTTTGGTAATTAGCTCAGTTTCCCAAGGAAGCAGGGCTTATATGATCACACTGTCTACTTGCTAGTCTAGGTTTTTGTATGGCTGCTGATCCCTCTCCTCTCTTTTCTCCTTCAATAACTTCTAAACTCTTGGCCAGTTTCAGCACCACTGGAGAGGAATTCCTGTAAGTTTCGGGAAAACAGGCTGCCAGATGGGCAAGAGACCCATTAGTGTTCCCACTGGCAGACAGTCTATAGTATGAGATCATTTCTTATTAAACATCAGAGAACCCACAGAGGAGATGAATAGGTGGAAGTACTCATTGGAATTTGCATTTTTAAGATACCAGAGAATCCAACCATGAAATCCAAATCCATAGCATTTAGTAATTTTGCTTCTTGCAGAACTTCTTGTTTTTTATTATTATTCTTCCTCTTCCAGTTCCTTCAATATTTTCTTTATAGTGCGGAACTAAAATTTAATGGATAATTCTGAGTATGCTAATCCAAATTTACAGAGAAGGGGCTCAACTCCCTTTGCTGTTAGTACCTCACTATAGACAGCTGGAAATTGCAGCAGCCTTTTGTTGCTGTATCACTATGGAAACTCAGGCCTAATTTGTTTTTCCCTATCATACAGAAGTCTTGTTCAGAGTGATTGCTTCCTTGCTCCTATTACATATGTGTGAGGTTACTGTTGTGCTTCATAGGTTATACACCTAAGCTCTGTACCATGCCACTGACAGCCCTAATATTTCCAGAATTATTTTAAAAAAATTATCATAAACTTGATTTATTTGATGTTCACTTCCCAATGTTGAAGTAGAACCTACAGACGTTTTTTAAATTTGTAAGTTGGTAAATTAATTTCTTCCTCCTTATGATTTGGACTTCCACATCAGACACTTTATGTTAGTTTTATTTTATACTTTCTTTAACAAGGAAAAAAGATTAAAAAAAATAGCTAATTCCAGTATTATGTAAGATACCTGCAAGATGTAAAATCTGGTCTGTTGGTCTCCTTATATGGCTTCTGACATGCAAGTCAGTTGTCTGAAAAGATCTGAGCTATGATTCTTTTCTGTTATTTGTTTGGTGAATTCAATTAACACCAATATTGGAAAAAAATAAACTGATATGTTATATGTAAGGAAAACAGATAGATTTTTACAATTTATACGTATCCATGAAAGGGAGAGTGAAGGAAATAGGATTTGCTGGGGAACACATGGTCTCATGGGCAAAGCCTCCAATTTCTCTAATTATATATGTGTCACAGGCTGCTCTCTATTCCTGATAATGCTCTTTGCTGGGCAGGGTTTGCTTCCTATTCACTTCAGCCATGGCCCTTAAAACACCATCTATGATTTTGCTAAATTTCTTCTCTGAGCAGCCAGAAATTGGATGAACAAATTTCATCTCCCAATTGCATTTCAAGTATTTTAAATACACAGTGCTTCAGGTGCAAGATTACCTCTGAGCTAGAATGGCTTTAATGCTATTACTAGCAACAGTGATTCATTTGAGCTTTTTGGGAAAAAAAAGAAATGTGTGTACGTGTGATAAATTATAAAAAATATGCTGGTATACTAATATTGGAGGATTTTACAGGTGAAAAAGAATGATTATTGTTTTTGAGGGCCATAATCAGAAATTCTTCTCAAGTGCTTGACGCTCACAGTTCCAGATACTGTAACCATAGTGGAAAAAAATTTGTCCTGGAAAATTTCCTTTTGAGCAATTTGAGAAGAGATAAGAGTTACGTACAAGAAAATGATAAAAAGATTAAAAATATTTGAGGATTTTTGATTTAACACACAGCAGCCATATTATACCACTAAGTAATGCACATCTAGGCCTCATGACAAATTCTGTGTGTGTGTGTACCATGAGCAGCTCTGCTGTCTGATGAATCATGTTGAGAAATGGTATTTTCACTGAGATTAAAAAAAGAATTTCCAACAGAAGGGGTTTCCTAATAGTGCCAAATTTTGTTCTGTAAGTGTTGATAAACACATTTGGAGTTCTTCATCACAAAGGTACTGACAAAATATACCAAGAAGGATAGAGGAGAAGAATGGATATTTGGCAGCTAGGACTTGATCATTACTTACAGTTAATAAATCAATCCAGATTGAGGTTAAAATCAAAGAACCAAATGTTATTTACTTCAAAGACATTCTCTCTGTTACTTCAGTTGCTGTTGCACTGAAACTAGAATTTTGACTCATTTTTGGGTTTTTTATGTGTGGGTATGGATCAGGAAAAAGGATAGCCTGTTCTTCAGAAATGTAAACAGGATGCCCAGGTAAGACAGAGATTGTCATAGCTGAACATTATTATGAATGCATGGAACTGTCATTGTAGAATTTTCTGGTTTTTTTGTCCTACGCTGTTTTGTAAAATATAAAAGGCTGTAAGATCTCTGTTGTCTTTAATTGATTAGATATTCAGGAAATATTAGTTATTGACAGTGGATTTTAGAATATGTTCAGGCCCCTTTTTACTGTGCTAAAACAACTCCATGATCCTTAGCAGACAACTGCTTCTTTATGATATTACAGCTGTGCTTGTTTAAAGATAATAGTGATACGTGTGTAGGGAGAGATAATGTCCCTCTTTATACCAACTGACATGTTTTGGAGAAGCTGGGGGGAAAAAAAGAAAAGCAGGCATAGTTTGAGGTACTCAACCTTTTTTTCTGACCTAAGAACTCATTCTGCAGTTAATTCCTGCAGAAGCTGCATCCAAAGTAAGATGGAGTGCATATGACATCAAAAGCAGGCTAAAGTTGGAAACAGGTTACCTTTTTACTTTCTTCTTCTTAAGCAGACATGTTTTGCTCTACTGTCATTTGGGGATTTAAGTTACTGGTATCAAGATGCTTTCTAATGTCTTATACTCTTTCCAGATTCTCATTTGAGAAGACAAATATTTTCTTTACTGTTCATTA